TGCCTTACTGGCCTTTGTATTCTCAGTACCTGGCAGAAAGCCCAGGGCCAGGAGCAGATACTGTCTGCCTGTTGAAAAGGTGGATTAGAAGCACACTTTATGAGACTTCCCCAGGCTTCCTCATGCAAATGCTGTTGGACAAGTTCCCTCCTAACCTGGCTGAGGGTGGGATGGGGTACACTTGGTTAGAACTTTCCTGGAAAGCAATTAGGCAATGTTGCCCTCCAGCAAAATGTGCTAACCATTGGGCCAGAACATTTTTATTTCTAGGAATTTGTCTTCAGGATAAAAAAAAAGATCACAGATGTGTGTGCAACAACATATATACAATGATGTTTATTGCAGTGTTGGCTATCACAATGGACAACTCGAAACCATCCTAATGCCTGACTATAAAGAATTGGTTAAATAGCTTATGGTACATTTCTCTGATGGAACATTTTGCAACCAGAACAATATCACTCTTAATGCATAAAGTGGTTACCCCTGGAGAAGAAGAGAATGTATCCCGAGGAACACATGGAAAGCTCCAGCTGTGTTTGTAATGATTTCTTTCTTGAGCTGGATGCTTATTATCTCATGCTTTCCCCCCTCCTCCCCTGGGGGCCTCATGCACACTAGACAAGCACACTACCACTGAGCTGCATCCCCAGTCCTATTATCTCATTCTTTACACCTCTTGATATGTCTAAATTATTAGGTAATTAGGTGAAAAATGAAATTTTAAAATATCGTGTTTAGAATACTTAGTGATGTGTCAAAATAATCATAAAATATTATGCCTAAGCAAACAGGTTGTAATAAATAGTACAAACAATATCATGACGATTTTCTAAATCAGAGCATGCATTTAGGTATGAAAGAAACCCATTAAACTTTAAATTGTGTTTATACTTGGACAGTGTGGTTTCAGGTGATTTCCATTTCTACAATTCAACAGTATTATTTTGTACAAAAGAAGTAATACTTTTTCACTTGCAGACTTTCATCTCTTACTACTTTCTGCTTTCCTCAGTAAGAAACTCCAGAATGATTTTCCACTTGTCTCTTCCTTTGAATCTACCCATCCAGGGTTTTGATTTGATTTTTGTTATTCACATTTTCTTAATCTTCTCCTTTGTTGCTGGCTGGTCTCCACAAGATTTTAGACCTTATTTTTTGTCATGTAGTGAAATCACTTGATCATGGAGTTATCCACACCCTGACCTGGTGATGTTGAAAACCCTGAGTTTTCTTTTAGCCAATCTGTGTTTCATTTTTAAGCTTCTTATGGATAAAAGTCACAGGGTTTGGCAATAAATTGCTTGTGATGAGTCAAGGATGGTAATAAGCTGCAAATTGACTTTATAACTTCATGCTAGTGAGGTGTGTTGGGATACTCAATAGTTCTGTCCCATCACTTCCAAAAGGTGATTAAATATTAATGGACTAGAGTCCCTACCTGGATGTGAATTCATGAAGGGGAAGACTGTGTGCACAGGGTCAAGCAGGCGAGGTTGACCAGTCTTTTCTTGAATTCATTCTGATGGAGAACCGGCTCAGGATATTGAGTGGCAGTGTGAGAGCTCATGACCTTGATCTCGGAGGGTTTGTTTAAGAAATCACAACTGGAAGAAAGACATTGAGGTGACAGAAGAGGCCCTGCAACTCCATTGGAAATTGAAATGGTTTCCTGAATAAAGAGAAACAGCAGAAGTCAAGTTCATTTGGAGTGTTTCAGCATATGTTCTGAATTTGGAAACATTGTATAGAAGCAAGGCAGGGAAACAAGATTTTTGCTGCATTGCTTAGGAAATGTGTGGGAAAGTGTTTAAAACAGGAGGATTCAATTATAAGAGCTTTGTATTCAATTATAAGAGCTTTGTATTCTTATGACTATATCACTTTCCCTCCTAGGCCAGAAAGAGTAGATCAGAAAGTTCTGGATGAATGGATTAACGAACTGATCAAATCCATGATTAATCATGGAGGTTAATCTCCTGCCTCCTGTGTGGATTCATCAAGATGTTGGTGGTTGGAGGTGACATAATCTCAATTCAGAAACAACTTTGGTAAAATCAGAAGGGACTTTATTGGCTGCTCTGATTGAAAAGGCCAGTGGGTAGTGCTATGTCCATCATGGCCGGATTCAAGGTACTCTTCCAAATCAATTTTTGCCATTGTATCTCATGGCTCATTTGCTTCAAAAGTAAGGTGATTTTAGTTAACATAGGGAAAATTCCAGGAAAATAATATGCCACGTTTTCCAATCCATAGTACATTTGATTGAGTAAAGTGAATTTAAAGGGATTTGATCCTCAAGCAAGGTGACCTCTCTCAGGTGAATTAAATCATGTCTCATGTTGCTTAAAAGATGTTGTGACTGTAGAGAAATGTTGACAGGGACAGAAATCATTATGGAGTTTCCCATTTCCTATTCCTATTCATTTTTCAAAATAATACAGAAGAATCCTTTACCATCTAGGTTTTACAAATAAAATTATTGGAAGATTTCTTTGAAGTTGGCTGATTTTATTTTTTGTACTGTAAACTATTTGGTAAATCTAATTTAAATGCAATTTTTTAATGACTAGTGTTGATATTATGATTCATCACTCATTTACTTAATTAGCAACACTTGACTTTATATACCCAAAATGTCCAATTTGCACCCTGGCATTTTTTCAGTTAAATAAAATTATGTATGGAGAAAATAAAGCTTTTTTTCCTATTTTTGAAATGTGCCTTTTAGTTTTTGTTGTTAATTGCCACTAAATGTAAACCATCAATGAGAGGGATAGGTTGAGTGTGCTGCTAATGGTTAGCAGAGAAGACAGTAATAGTCTAGTTGTGACTAGGACTGTCTAGGTTCAAATCATGACACCTGCATGTGCTGTCAGACTTTGAGAAAGCATTTTGTGTCTTTTTGTCTGTTTCATCCCTGTGATGTTGATTATCTACCTCATGGTACCTGTGTACCTACTATGTGTGATAGTAACCTCCTCTCATGTGAGAGATTGAATTTAAAAAGCACTTAGTGTTGCTTTTAGTATTAATATGATTATTAATATGTGCTATAGGATTTGGAAGAATCAAAAGTGACTTATACAGGTCATGAGTCTAGTCCCCTGTTCTAAGGAAAAACTTTCAGCACCAAGAACAACAGCTAGGTAGTTATTTTGGACTGAATGAATAGGTGATTTGCTACAGTAAAGACAAAACAAGTTTGCATGTGGATGGAAAGGGAAAAGTCTTATTGCAATATTCCTCATGAGTCTACTGGATTGAATTTCGATTCTTAAAGAGAAGGAGCATCTTTTGACCATGATGTGAAATGCAAAATTGTTTAGACCAAGTGATATTGAGTCTTAAAATACGAGGTATGCTAAAGAATATAAACTTTGTTTTAGAAGTTATATGGAGCTGCTCTAGGTGGGGAGTCCCTGGCCTCATGATTTCAAACCTGAACTTCCTTGGGAGGTGGACACAATCAGTGTGTATTTTCATGGTTTAATGAGAACAGAAAGACCGCTGGGCCCTTGAAATGTGGGATACCTGAATGGAACCTACTTGCTACAATTTTGCATTAAATAAGACAGACATATATGCTCAGATTTCCAGGTTCTAAGGCAAGATTTAGTCCACACACAGTTGACTAAGTAATGAGGAGAAAGAGATGAAAATAGGCACCAATTATTATTTTTCCTTCTAATTTCGACTCTATGTCAAGCATTTTTGTGAATTAGATGGTATTATCATATCTATTGTATGAGTTAGGAAAGATATTGAGGTTATATCATCTGGCCAATGACTGACAGAGTAAGTGGTCAAGCTGGGATCTAGGTATGATCAAGTCCACATCTTGAGCTTCTAGATGCCAATAATCACAATAGGACAGATACTATAGGAATAAATACAGTTGGACAAATATTAATAAGAATAAATGCTATTAATATATCCTTTTATGTACTAGGTACCATTCAGGGCTACATATTTGTTTTCTCCTTTTATTCCTATAAATTATTCAAGACAACACTTATTGCTAGATTCCTTGTTGGACTGAGAATTTTGTATGTTCCACTAGCCATATTTGAGTCCTAAATATTTGAGTCCTAAATATTCAGTTATAATAAAATAAACTTGAAACAATATAAAGAATGGAAAGGGACCCTGAGAAAACATTGGGAACAATTTCATAGTATTCTTAAAACCTTTCTAATATGCTTTTGTACCCACTGGGGATTATTCTGTAATAGCCTTTACTTGAATAGTCATAGAGAAAATTCTTTTTGCTTTTAAATATCTGTTCAGGACTGTGATGATAGTAATAGTTGCTCTTATTTGCTTCTTATTTCCTCTGTGAGGGAGACCATGTGCTGCAGGTTAGGAGCACAGGCCCTGGAATTTGAATTCAGAAGTGAATTTTACTACTTACCAGCTTTGTCAACTGAGTAGTGTTAAGTCTTAATTTCTACATTTAATTCCTCAAATATTTATGGAATATCTACTGATTAAAGGTGCTGAGGCTTAAAATGAATGAATGATATGCTTAAAATAACCTCTGCTTTAGGGATAGCTGTCAGTTTCAATGAGGAAAACTTTTGACAGCATGCTAAAACATTGGATGTATATAGCTTATTCTATAGTAACATAATAGTCCTATTTTAGTAAACCTTGTGTTATCAAAAATTGAGTATAAAAAAATGTTTGTTTTAAGGGACTTAGTTAAGGGGCAAGTAGAGAGTCTCAGACTGGCATATCAAAGTTTTTTTTTTCCTAGCTAGAATTTAAGAAATAAGAATACTATTTTATAGCTCTAAAACCTAAATGCTACTGAGCAAATTCAGCATGTAATAACATCTAGCTTTCCTCCAAGAGTAAAGGACTTTCACTTTCCATCACCCCAGCACTATCATTATGTGTTTAGACCTTGATCACCCACTGTTACAGGAGACCGAGCTCAACTCACTCAAGCAGAGCAGTTGTATTTTGTAGATGAGACTTTTCTTCCTGCTGTGGTGTGATGCCAGTCTTCGTGGTGATTGAGTTTTTTATCAAAGCTGTTGGAATGCCTGTCCTGGGACAGACTCTAATCTGGGAACAAAAATAAACAGAATAGGCCATGCCCTTATTTGGAGGGAGTTTGTATTTGTAAGGAAAAAGTAACTTTCCTTCTACCTGAAAATTCAGTAATTTGAATTTATACCATAAAGTGGATTAACAAAGATGGACAGGAGAAAAAGCGAATTTGTAGCATGCCTACACATGAGAGCATTGAAAAATATAATACTGGAAAAAAAGTGCAAGTGTTTTAAGTTTATAATGTCCTAAACTACAGAAAGGAATGAGAGGGGACGAGGCCACAGTGTGTGAGGAGCGGTGAGAGAAGGAAATCCATGGTGAACACAGATTGTCTTGTATAGGTAACCTCTCAGGTATCAGTCCTCAAGAGAACAGATGATCTGTTGTGCAAGTGTCTCCCTGGGGTGAGCAGGCAGCATCCTTCAGTCTCCTTTCCTATGATAGGAATTCATATTCTCTGCTTGATGGGGTTCCACGGAGGGAGTTCTTAAAAATTGCATTCAACTGTTGAATGTTTTTTCTGGTTTTAGTCAGATAAAGGAAATTCAGATAAAGCTCCTCCCTGTGCTTATGAGGAGAAAAAGGGGTTAGGGGCTGGAGGGCAGAAGGGCAGGGAGACCTTGGTTCTTCTTTAGTTCAAAGTGCCCCACATGTCAAAGCACCATACTTCAGGGCATTATTTTCTGAACCTCAATAGATTCTTTCCAGAGACAAATAATAGTTAAAGGTAGAAAGAAAGGGAGGAAGGCAGGCAAGCAAGGAGGCAGAGAAGGAGGGAGGAAGGGAGGGAGGAGGAACATTAGGTCAGGTAGTAATGAGTGCCATGAGGAATTATCAAGGTCAGGCATCGTAGAAAGGTGTGGAGGTAGGGGCTGATTGTCCTGCTGTTTTAGCTGGAGTAATCTAGGAGGGCCTCATCAAAGATGTGACCGAAGTGAGAAAGCAGCCATATAACGCCTTGGAGGAGAGGCGTCCCAAGCAGAGGCATCAGCAAGTATAAAGGTTTTGAGGGAGAAAGACCCCAGGCCTCTTGGAGGTGAGCATGGAGGCCTGGGGACTGGAGAGGAGAGTGCAAAGGGAGCAAGGGACAAGAGACCTGAGACAAAGTTACATACATGGGTATGAAGGACCTTGTAAGACTTTTCTCTGGGTGAGGTGGAACAATACTGGAGGTCTTTGGCCAGAGAAGTGATGTGATTTGACTTAGGTTTGGGGAAGCTCCTGAGTGAGGGTGGACAGTCCAGGAGCACAGGTAGAGGCTGAGACTGCTTGGAGCTATTGCAGGTCTTTCAGCCAATACCTAGTGGTAGCTTGACCTGAAAGATAATGGTGGAGTTGGCAAGAAATGATTGAATTTTGTTAATCTTTTGAAGGTGAGACTGGCAGGATTTGCTGGTGGACTCTGGGTGTTTGGCCTTAACCACTGGAAAAATAGAACTGCCATTTGTCAACACTATGATTTATAGTCTATGTGTCTATGTGAGATTAAGATAACTAAAGGAGGTTATTCCTTCAAATCAGAGGGTGTGTAGAAATGGCTTATGACATGTGTTGAGATATGAATGTGGGTGAGATTTTAAAGTCTGTCCTCCCTTCTTGTGCATTCTATGCCTCCTCCACACACCTATGGTGTTTCTTCTTAGCTGTTCTCCACACCTTATAAAATATGCACTTGTGAGTGAAGCACTTACTAGTTAAGTGTAATTTCAAGTCAGCATGATCTTTCCTAGTTGTAGTTACACTTATAATTTACTTTGAATTCTAAGATGATAATAGATTGCATTTCTTACACTAACTATAATCACTGAATGCTTGTCTACAAAACTTTACAAAACTTTGCTGAGAAGTTTTAGGAAGCTGGTTTTCAGCTTACTGGGAAAAAGAAAAAAAATGATAATATCTGCTACCTTAGTGCTGAGGAGTGGCATACCATATTATCTATTTTGATGGGCTACAAATGGCTGCCACAGGGGAAAACCATTGTTCTATTCTTTTACTCTTAGAGGGATTTAGGTTTCAGCAAGTAGTTGGGGAAATTATTTTTCCTTTCCACTTTTTGGAGCCTCACTTTCCTCTGAGATCACATCAAGAAAAGAGCACAGGCCCAAAGACTGTAATACCTAAAGATCTTAACAAGTTGCATGACACTAAACTCAGGTGTTTTAGCAGATAAATTGCTTACCTTAATGAACAATGCCTTTGCCTGGTCATAGTCCATTTTTCTCTAGCATTCATTACTGCCAAACATACTGTAATTAACATTCACTTATTGTGTATGCTGTTTCTCTCCACCTAAATATAAGCTATAGGGAAAGGAATTTGCTCTGATATGGAGAGCTTTTTCCCAAGTGCCAGAACAGTGACTCGAATGAAATATATGTTGAATAAGTATTGAATGAATAAATGATGATGATGATGAAGATGATGATGATATTATTC